GCCTCGGGGGACGCCCCCACTCAGTGCCTCTTCCCCCCATCCCTTGGGGCTGCGCTGAACCTGGGGCCCCCTCCCAGGGAGAGGGAACACACTGATGGCAATGTATGGACCCCCATCCTGCCCTCTGGGTTTGGATCCCCCATTCCATTCTCCGGGCCTGGGGACTCCCAGGTGAGGTTACTGTGGTGAGGTGGTGGTGAATTCCCCCCCGCTGCCCCCAGGGATTGTCCCTTTTTGGAGCCGGGAGTGTTTAGGGGGCCCGGCTCTGGAGGGATGGGGTGGGAACACCTGAGGAAGGGACACCCCGCTTGACACTAAGGTGAGGGCAGAGCTCCTGGTCACCCCACAGCTGCCCCCCAAGAGCAGGGACCCCGGTGTGAGCTGTCCCCAACCCCTCTGTGCCCTGTCCTCCCTCCCAGACCGTCATCAACACCATGTGTGGCCACGGGATGCAGGACAAGGGCTACCTGGAGGCCAGTGCCTTCATCTACACCAACGGCTGCATCGACAAGCTGGTCAACTGGATCCACAGCAACCTGTTCCTGCTGGGGGGCATCACCCTGGGGCTGGCCCTCCCCCAGGTACAGGGGTCCCTGGGGACCGGGGGGGAGAAGGGTCCATCCCACAGCTCCACTTTGTGCTCCATCTCATTTGGGAGTTGCCTTAAGGATGTGGTTAATCCCAGGAGGATGTCCAGGCAGGATTTTGGGTGAGGGAACAGTGCAAATGTTGGGCACAGGGGACACAGGGGTGACAGTGCCTGGTGTCCCTCAGCACCTCCCTCTCATGTTCCTCTTTTTCTCTCTCTCCCCTTCCTCTTTTTCTCTCTCTCCCCTTCCCCTTTCTCTCTCTTTCCCCTTCCTCTTCTCTTTTCCATCTCTCCTTCCTCTCCCCCTTCCCCTCCCTCTCTCTTTGCCCTTCCCCTTCCTTCTCTCTCCTCCTCCTCTCCCTCCTCTTTCCCCTCTCCCTCTCCTCCCTCCTTTCCAGCTGGTGGGCATCATCCTGGCTCAGCTCCTCATCAACCAGATCCGAGACCAGATCAAGCTGCAGCTCTACAACCAGCAGCACCGGGCAGACCCCTGGTACTGAGCCGGCGTCCGTCCGTCCCACGGCACAGCGGTGGCTCCCGGCACCTCAACAGCCATTTTCCCAACCCCGGATCCATGGGAAGAGCTGAGGGGGCTTTGCTGGAGAAGAGGGAGGGTAGGAGCAGGCTGTGGATCCGTGGTGGCCGCTGTGCTGCGGAGAGGGACGCGCAGGGACACTGGAGACTCGGTGCCTTTGGCAGCCGGTGCCGGGCTCGGCCGGGACGTGCCGAGCTGCTGTGCCCTGTTTTGGGGCCTGACCCAGCCCCAGAACCACTGTCTGTCTGTCTGTCCTGCTGGGGCACAGGTCGTGCACAAAGGTTTGCACTGGGATGTGCTTCCCATCTCTGCGTGTGCTGGAGATGGGCATTTGTCTGTCTGTCTGTCTGTCTGTCTGTCCATGCACCGAGCTGCCTTTGCCCAAGGTGGGCTCCAGAACTGGGGACATTCCCACCATCGCCAGGTGCCACCAACCCCGTCGGCTCCATCTCAGTGTCCCAGACGGGAGCAGGAGCCACTGGCACAGGAGGGCTGATCCACGGGTGCTTCCTCAGCTGAGGGCGAAGGTCCCGTCTGTGCTTGGGGTGCTGGGCCTCTCCATTGGGTGCTGGGCCCCTCCACAGGGAGCTGAGCCCCTCCACAGGGAGCTGAGCCCCTCCACAGGGTGCTGGGCCTCTCCATTGGGTGCTGGGCCCCTCCACA